GGGGGGGGAACAACCCTCCATATAATATAGTAACAAGAAAGACAAAATACCTAGAGACAAACTTAAATGAAATGTGTAGGAAAACTTTAAAACACCTTTGAAGGACAAAAAATAAACACTGAGTGAAGAAAAAAAAAGACATATTATCTTAGATAATACCTAACTGATATCAGCTATCTCCAAATTAATTTATACATTTATTATGATAAAAGATTGTTTTAAAATACAATCTGACTTTAAAGTGTTTGTGGAAAAATAAATATAGTCATATAAAATTTTTAAAAGAAGAGCAATGAAGGAACCTAGCCTACCAAATATTAAAATGTATTATAAATCCTCAGTGATTAGATATGTAGCACTGGCAAATGAACCGATCATTAGACCAAGGAAACAGCACAGAAAACCAAGAAATAAACCCAATATATGTTATACAGGCATTTAATATATGATGAAGGAAGATCTAAATGAAAGCAGAAAAGAATTAGTTGATAGTTCATGTTGAGACAACTGGAAATCTATCTAGAAAAAAATTAAACTTGGGTTCATACCACACATCTGAATAAATTTTAATTGGATGTATGATTTGAATATAAATAAATGAAACAATGTCCCTAAAGTTCTAGCACTAAAAAGTACTAGAAGAAAACATGGGGAAATCTTTTATAAACTTGGATTGGGAAAGATCTGACTATGATTTAAAATCTAGAAGTGAAAAATAAACAAATAATATAGAGTAGTGTAAATTACATAGAGTGTTTCCCATTGGGTAGTTGGTAGGTTCAAACTGCTGATCTTTTTTGGTTCGCAACCTAGCACTTTAACCACTATGACACCAGGACTCCTCACAAAGAACCTAGAACAGCCAAAATGACTTTTTTTTTTTTTCCCAGAACTCAGCAAAATAAAATTGTTTATTGTTGGACAACATCGTTTCACACATACATCAAAAAGGCCATATAAATAAACAACAACTACATAGAGAAAGAAAGGAAAATAAACGTTTAACCATCTCACACAAACTGACTAGATAGTACAGCGAAGTCTATACACAAAAAGAGTTACTGGAATGCTTGGAATAAGATTGTATTATTTTTGTTGTTTTTGCTTTACTTACAAGTTTTTTTTTCCTCCTTTGAGATTATAATGAACATAGTCACGCCACAAGTTAGAAGTAAACCAGACTGAAGGCTGGTTTGTTCATCTGAGAGCATTAAAAATGGTCAATCTCTAAAATATGTACAAAAATATAATATGTAAATAAAACACCTCCCCAAAATTTCCTTTTTAAAGTATTTTTCAGAACAAAACCAGGGCCTTGGAAGTTTTTATTCTGTTTTTCCTCCCCCATTACAAATGCACATTGTGGTATTGGTTGGATGGTGATGAGTGTGTTTCATCCGCAGGTGGCATTGCCAGAGGTAGGTGGGCAAGACTCTCTACAAGAAGGTTTAGATTCTCAGATGGGACGTAGGGAAGACTAGGTCACAGTGCCCTTATTTTATTTAAGCTTAACTTTTTCTTTTTTGCTGTCTAGTCATTCTCACTGGTCTGCTTCTTAGTGTCAACACTGTCCTCATCATCATCTTCAGCTGCATATTTGCCTGTAGCTGCCTCAGCTTCCTCATCTTCATCTCCATCCTTTTCCTCCTCACCTTCTTCCTCTTCTTTGTCTACTTCATTGTCAGCATCCTGTTCCTTATTTTCCTCATTAGCATTCCCATTAGTGGGTACATCTTTTCCATTCCCCATCTACTCCACAAACTACTTCTTTTTTTAGTCCTTGGTGGTGATCTTCGAGCTGGTGTCCACTGCCACTCTGACACAGCTCACCATGCTGGTGATCTGATGTGAAAGATTACAAAGAAAGCAAGAGTTTGGGGACTCTGGTGAGAACACATCTGGATTCTGTGGCAGCAGAGCAGGTTAGTGCTGAGGAGGTTGCAGTGAGTGGGAAGCTGGGCTCAGAAACAACACAAAGATGTCTTTTCAGACCAGCAGTCTAGCCAAAATGATCTTGGAAAAGACGAATGAAGTTGGAGGACTTACACAATCTGACTTTAAAACTTAATACAAAGCCACAATAACGAAGATAACGTTGTACTGCTGTAGGCATAGACATAGAGTGAATAGAGAGCCCAGAAATAGATCCACACTTATATGGTCAATTGATATAAATAAATGGTACAAGGTAGTTCATTGGAGAGATGGCTATTTGTATGGAAAAAAAGAAATCTCAGTACTTTTTTCACACTGTCCACAAAAATTAATTCAAATGAACTATAAGCCTAAAAGCTAAAACTACAAAACTTCTAGAAGAAAACATAAGAGAAAAATCTTCACTATTTTGGTGTGGATAAAGATTTCAATAAATATTAACCATAGTATTTATTTACTCAATAAATATTAACCATAGTCTCAGGGGACAATAAGGTCAATTGCCATAAAGTAACCCAGAAAGACAATGTTCTACATCCCACTTTGGTTAGTAACAACTGGGGTCTTAAAAGCTTGTGAGCAGCCCTTTAAGGTACAGCTATTGGTCTCTCCCCATCCAGAACAAAGATGGGTAGAGAAAAACACCAAAGAAACAACTAGTCCAAAGGACTACTGTTGTTGTAGTTGCTATGTGCCGTTGAGTCAGCCCCAACTCACAGCAACCCCTCTTTGGGTTTCTAAGGCGGTATCACTACCTTCCTTGCGAGGTGTGGACAAATAGACAAATAGACCATGTGAATTTCAGCCTCCAGAACCCTGAGACCAGAAAAACTGGATGATGCCCAGTTATCACTACTGACTGGTCTGAAAGGGATCACAATAGGAGGTGCTGGATAAAGTGGGAGAAGAATGTGGAACAAAACTCAGAATTATTAAAAAAAAAAAAGAAAAAAAAAAACCAGGCTTACTGATCTGATGAAGACTGGTAGAACCCACCCACCCCCGCCCCCCAAGATTATGGCTCTTAGACACACTTCAAGCTAGGGAATGAAATCAACCACCATGGCTCAATTTTAGCTAAATGATAGACAGGTCTGTATGGTGACACAGCGATACCAGGAGGGTATGCACTCATTATAACAATCAAGCATACGAAATCAAGACCACAGCATTTGCCCAGGGATAGAGCTAGGAGTGGGGAGGGGTAGGAAGTGTAGGATGAAGGGAAGTGCTAGCATGTGGAGGAAGTGGAAAGCGCTGTTGCATTGTGGGGAGTGTAGTGAATATCATGAAACAAAACCTGTGGATGTTTGAATGGAAAACCAATTTACTCTGTAAACTTTAATTCAAATCAAATTAAAATTTTTTTAATATTCATAAATTAAATAAATATTATCCATAAAATAAAATACTAGTAATTTAGACTTCATCAAAATTAAAATGAAAGACACCTTAAGAAAATGACAAGACAATATTTGACAAAGGATCTGTATCTAGAATTTATTAAAAAGCTCCTACAATGCAATACTAAAAAACAAACAATTTTAAACTAAGTATAAGATTTGATCAGATATTTTACAAATGAAGATTTATAGAAGACAAATAAGCACATAAAAAGGCATTCATTATCATTAATCAAAAAGAATTATGTTTAATTGTCAGGAGCAAAGAAGAGGGAAGAAAATCAAAGATACATGGAAACAATTAGTCCAAACGCCTAATGAACCATGAGAACCTTAGCCTATATGACCCTGAGACTAAAAGAAATAGATGGTGCCCAACTACCACTGCCAACCACATGGAAAAGGATCAAAATTGGAGATCCTGGATAGAGTGGGAGAAAAATGTGGAACATAATTAAAAAAAAAAAAAAACATAAAAAAGACAAGGATTACTTGTCAGATAGAGACTGGTGAAACCCCCAATTCTATGGCCCTTAGTCACCCTTTGGGCTTGGATTTAGACTCACTCCTGTGGCTAACTTTCAGCCAAACAACAGACAGGCCTACGAGCTGAACAACTACACCAAAGAGATGAACTTCTTAGAACAACCAACCATGAGAGATCAGAGTGGCAAAACAAAAATAAAAAGGAAACAAACTTAACATCACAATGAGGTACCACTACACATCAACTGTTGTTGTTAGGTGCCACCAAGGTGGTTCAGACTCATAGCAACCCCATGTACAATAGAATGAAACATTGCCGGATCCTGCCTCATCTTCATAATCATTGCTATGCTTCAGTTCATTGTTATAGCCACTGTGTGAATCCATCTCATTTAGAATCTTCCTCTTTTTTGCTAAAGCTCTACTTTTCCAAGCATGATGTCCTTCTCCAGGGATTGGTCCCTCTTGATGGCATGTCCAAAGTACATGAGACAAAGTCACGCTATTCTCACTTCCAAGGAGCATTCCAGATGTATTTCTTCCAAAACAGATTTGTTTGTTCTTCTATCAGTCTATGTCATATTCAATATTCACCGTTAATACCTTAATTCACTTCTTCTTTGGTCTCTCTTCCAGCTTTTACATGTATATGAGGCTATTGAAAATACTATGGCATAGGTCAGGAGCACTTCAGTCCTCAAATTGACATCTTTGCTCTTTAACACTTTTAAAGATGTCTTTTATGATAGATTTGCCCACTGCAATATGTCATTTGATTTCTTGATTGATGTTTCTATGGGCTTGATGGTGGATCCAAGTAAAACAAAATCCTTGAAAACTTTAATCTTTTCTTCATTTATCATGATGTTGCTTATTGGTCCAGTTGTGAGGATTATTATTTTCTTTATGTTGAGGTGTAATCTATAGTGAACTGAAATGGACTGGTATTGGTCATTTTGACTCAGATAATTATATGGTCTATTAAGGTAGGAATAGGAGCTCTGGTGGCATAGTGCCTAAAGCATGTGGCTGCAAGCCAGAAGGCTGGCGGTTCAAACCCACAAGTCACTCCTCGGAAGGAAGGTTGGGCAATCTACTTCCATAGTGATACTGCCTCAGAAACCCAAGGAGGAGTCGCTGTGAGTCAGATCCAACTTGAGGGCATTGATTCCTCACCCCCTGGAAGGTAGAAATGACAATTGAAGAGGAATGGCATCACATTCACTGTCAAAAGAAAAAAAAATTCAAGATCTATACTGAAGTACAAGGCTATCAGCAATAGGACAATATACATACCCTACAAGAAAACCAGTTAAAACTATTATTATTTAAATTTACACACTAACCACTAAAGCTAAAGCTAAAGAAATTGAGATTTTTACCAACTTCTGCAGTCTGAAATCGACCCAACATGCAATCTAAATCCATTGATAATTACTGGTGATTAGAATGTACAAGTTGGAAACAAAGAAGCATTGATAGTTGGAATATATGACCTTGGTGAGAGAAATGATCCTGGAGAGTGCAAGATAGAATTTTGCAAGACCAACAACTTATTTATGACAAATACCTTTTTTCAACAACATAAATGACAACTACACATGTTGATGTTACCCGACAGAATATGCAGGAATCAAATCAACTACATCTGTGGAAAAAGACGATGATGACACTCAATATAATCAGTCAGAACAAGGCCAGGGGGTCAACTATGGAACAGACCATCACTTGCTCAGATGCAAGTTCAAGCTGAAGCGGAAAAAAGTCCACAAGAGCCAAAATATGACCTTAAGTATATCCCACATGAATTTAGAGACCATCTAAAGAACAGATTAGACATATTAAATACCAATGATCAAAGACCATACGAGTTGTGGGATGACATCAAAGACATCATACATGAAGAAAGCAAAAGGTCATTAAAAAGACAAGAAAGGAAAGACCAAAATGGATGTCAGAAGAGACTCTGAGATTTGCTCTTGAAAAGAGTAGCTAAAGCGAATGGAAGAAATGATGAAGTAAAACAGCTGAAGAGAAAATTTCAAAGGGTGGCTTTGAAAAGACAAAGTAGAGAATTATAATGGAATATGCAAAGACTTGGAGTTAGAAAATCAAAAGGGAGTAACATGCTCATTATTTCTCAAGCCTCAGTTTGCAATATTGAATGATGCAGGAAACATCAACAGAAGATGGAAAGAATACACGAAGTCATGGTCAATATTCAACCAGGTAGTATATGATCAAGAACCAATGGTATTAATGAAAGAAGTCCAAGCTGCACTGAAGGAATTGATGAAAAACAAGGCTCCAGGAATTAACAGACTACTCAATGAGATGTTTTGGTAAATAGATGCAGCACTGGTGGTGGTCTAAGCCAAGAAATTTGGAAGAGACCTACCTGGCAAAACAACTTCTTGGAAGGAAGGTTGGGCACTCTACCTCCGTAGTGATACAGCTTCAGAAACGCAAGGAGGGGTCGCTATAAGTCGGATCCAGCTCAACAGCAGTGAGAGAGAGAGAGACCAGGCAAAATGACTGGAAGAGATTCATATTTGTGCCCATTCAAAAGAAAGATAAACAGAATGGAGAAATTATCAAGCACTATCATCAATATCACACGCAAGTAAAATTCTGCCAAAAATAACACAAAAATGGTTGCAACAGTACATCGGCAGGTACTACAAGAAATGCAAGCTGATTTCAAAGAGGATGTGGAATGAAGGATATCATTGTTGATGTCAGATGTATCTTGGCCGAAAATGAAGATCAGAAATACGTTTACTTGTGTTTTATTGACTAAGGCAAGGCATTCAACCTTGAGAATCACAGCAAATTACAGATAACATTCAGAAAAATGAGAATTCCAAAACATTTAATTATACTTAGAGGAGCCAATACTTAGACCAAGAGGCAGTCATTCAAACAGAACTAGGGGATAGCGCATGGTTTAAAAATCACTTTTTCCTGATTTTAAACAATGCACTATCCCCTAGTTCTGTTTGAATGACT